TCTGCGGCTACAGCTCCTCCTCCTGCTTCTGTCTGACAAAGACCACCCTCAGAACAACGAGCCCCCACAAGCACTGCAGGACAGTTTCCCAGTCTCAGACCTTTATCTTCATTGCATGTGCAAAATCCCTCAGGCAGCTATGGGACAGGAACAGTGTCCAGAAGTTAGGCTGCAGACACACTTGGGAGCCATGATTCAGCTGACTCCACGTCCTAGAGCCAGCCTTTGAAAGCAAGTTCATCTTCTTGCTCATTGCCCAACCAACCCCCGCAACGGGGGCAAGCAAGGGAACCCAAACTAACCGGCCAAAAGAACCCGGAAGCAACAACCCCTCAAAAGAAGCAACGAAAAAGTTTGAACAAAAAGGAAAAATGAATTTTGGTGAAAACGAATATACATTCTGCAAGGTGGTGCTTCTTAGAAGAAAGGAAATAACACCGAACAGAGAAGACAAAGTGTTGTATAGATTGGGGTAACTGGGTGCCAGGAAAAGGGCAGAGATGGGCTTCACACCTAAGTAGAACCAGGAAATGGATCCGATTTCTCTAGTATGTGCAAAGCTGTGTTTACAGAAAAGCACAGGTTTGGTCCAGTGGCCAAAGTGAGCAAGGACAGCAAATGCTTGATTCATACAGTGACCTGGGGACCCCAGGAATAAAGTGACCTCTGTGAATAAAGTTTCCAGAGATAGTGTGGGCTGATTTTCTCCAGCAGCGACCACTGTAGCTACCATTGCTTACTTGGGGTTGCTGACCCTGTTCTTTGGGAAAAAATCCTTTTGCTTTAATTACTGCAAGTGGGGTACAAGTCTACACAAGGAATTCTATTAGGAAAATAAAATATGGAAATGGCTGGGTGGAGGTAGCAAGCGTGTAGGCAGTAGCATCTCTCCAAAAAAATTCAGTCACTGATGGTAGTGGTGCAGGTCTTTGGGTACCTCAGTTTAAAGAGTCCCATAGATGACAATTTATACCTTCTTCCACTCAAGTTCTCTCCAAAGTAAATTGCTATATGGACCACTGTTATGGTTTCTGTCCAGTCCGCCCCCTAAAGCCTCATGCAGTCATAGGACAGACTTCTAGAGGTTGTGAGTAACTCATGACCCAATGCTGGGATTAAGGGTACAAGTACTGTTGGGATTGCAGGAATGAGTGCTACACCCTCCCTGGGACAGATAGCTTGGATGCAGTAAAGGCAGGGAGAGAGGCTTGCTCTCTGGCTCCACCTCTGCCCCTCTTTTGCTGCTCCTCTCTTTGGTCTTTGCTGTGTTCTGCTGCTGTGACCAGCTGCCCTCTGCCACGTGCCACTCTACCTTGGAGCCAACTGAAACCTCCACTGACTGTGAACTAAATAAACCGTTCCCTCCTTAATTGTGGGTGTCAGGCATTTTGTCCCAGGAATGAGAGAAAACTAAGATGACCACCATGCCTATATTTTAACTTGAACCATTTAAAATAGCTTCTTAAAGTCAGAGAAATTTATCCAAGAATTTTTCTGTTTATGCATAGAGAAATCATTAAATATGTCTTGTTATTTTAATTTTGTTTATTTTTACATAAGATCCTAGATGAAGGGCTAGCAAGATAGCTCCGTGGTCTAAGCGCCTGCCTAGCAAGTGTAGGGTCCTGAGTCCTATCCCTGGTACCACATGCTCTGCCTGCCCTGGAACTCCAAGCACGCTGATCTGGGCTGGAATTGGGCATGGTGGTGCATGCCCACAATCCCAGCACTGAGGAGGCTGAGGCAGGAAGACCACTATGACTCTAAACTGCATAGTGAGACCCTGTATCACATATATATATTAGATGAAAAAAATTTTCACTGAAGGAAAAAGAGATGAGTGGTGGAGTGAGATGGTGGGGGTACTGATGCCATAAGGTGGGGGTCACACGGACATTTCCACTGGAAAACCTCTTGTCAGATCTAAGTATCACAAACTCCAAAGAAGCAAAAGCAAGTGACAGAAAGGGATACCCAGAGAGAAAAAATGTAGGGCTTTAATTAGATCATCAATTGTTGCTAATTAGGAAACATTTTTAACAGGTGGTAAACTGCATAGACTGCCTTTTAACCCTTGTCTGATCACTGCAGTGGCAGGAATATTGTAGGCTCTGAATGTTACACTGGTGTTGCCTGGAAATTATCTCGTTCTTGTCAATTTCATATATTCGCACAACTCTTAGGAGAATGCTGAAGTTAGTGGCCTGGAAATATACAATCAAGTTTTTAAAAGTATTTTTAGAAAGCTCACGCTATAATTTATTTAAAATTATAAGTAACTTAAAGATGGGTAATTATAATTAATAAGATACAATTTTGAAAGAGAGGAATGTATTAATATTTTAATCTTTCTGATAATTCATTAAGATTACCTAATATTTTTACATCAGCAAATATTGCCTCAAGGACTCAATTGAAGCAAAATCATAATGATCACCATTTAATTAATCTATTAAAAACATGTACAATTATATACTAAGTCTAATGATACACCAGAATAGAGACAGAGCTGGCATTCTAATGAGGATGAGCTAATCATGACGGGGCCTTGAACCTGGCGTCCGTGTGCTCAGAGACTCCCAAAGCATGTTTGGTTCTTTCTTTTTCTGGGTGCTTCTGGTTTCTACATCCCAAAGTTACAGTGACAACAATATTCACCTGCGGCATCTGCTATGGAAAGTGTAGGCAGCCGAGGTCTTATTTAATTAAACCTGAGGGGTTACTCCAGTGTAGACCTGAGGAACTGTATGGGGGAGATGGACAGAGTTGTGCAGGACCACAGCACTACACAGAGAGACACTTCACAGACTCCACAGGGAACCACTGGACTCTAAGAATCGACTACAAAAATAAAAGCATGAGTGTCTTAGATAATTCAAGATGCTCTAGCCAAATATCGTAGGTTGGGTAATTAACTTATGAACAGCAGAAGTGTATGGCCTACAGTTCTGGAGGCCAGGAAATCCAAGATCCCGGGAACTGCAGACTTAGTGTCTGATAGCCCCTGCCCTTCTGCTACAAGACGGTCCCGTCTGTCCTCACAAAGAGCAAGGCAGGCCCCCTGCACACTTGCACATCCAACTAATCCTACCCATGAGAGCAGCACCTCATGAACTAGCCACCTCCCCAAAGGCCCCATTTCTTACATTTTGGGCATTAGTTCCAGGGTACCATCTGGGAGGTCATCTACATGAAGACTATGAGATATCCATAGTGTCTCTCATCTCCTGCATTCCACTCCAGAATTTCCCATAGATGATTGTGCAAACACAGCGATCCAGCTGAAGCCTCCATGAACACTGCAGGTCAGTGCTGGTGAACCTTTTAGTGTTCTCAGTGATACCGTCCACCACAGCATACGGGCTACAGGTTCTCCACAACTACTGGAAGTGTAATTATTTTAACTACGTTCTTTGGATAATTGTGATGCCCAATCAAGTTGTAGGTTTATTGTCTACTCCTCACAACAGATTTGAGACACACAGAGAAGCTAGAAAGTTGCCTGTTCTCCCTGCTAGAGAAGTACGGCTCAGGGTTGGATCCCTGGAACCGTGACCCTGAAGCCTTTGAGCTTCAAGACCACCCAGACTACATCTCTGAGGTGCTTCTACTATTGCCAGAGCACCTGCAGGAAAGCTGCTCTGGGGAAAGGGGATCGAGGTGTAACGGTGCCCAACCTGCAGAGGGCCTGCCCAGGGCCGTTCACAGCCACCGGCAGGTGAGGAGCAGGTGCATCTGCTTGCTTTAATTACTCAGAGGTTGTTCATTATTTTGGTTTCTAAATTTTTGCTTTCTTTAAGGTAATCACATAGTTCCCTTCTTATTTGATTGGGCAGGCAATACCATCCTTTCTTTCATAAACATGTGTGATGTGCCAGGCCCTCCACTGATTTAAATGTCTTTGAGAGAACATTTTTCCTTTTTGCTTGAGTACAAGTCTCAAAATACACACTATGTACAGGGACAAACTCCCTATGCTGAAGGTGACATTATGTATATCTAAAGTATACCGATGAAATTAATGTTAAAAAGCAAATGAAGTGCTTCAGTGACCATGAGCATTCTGGATATTCAGGGTTTGACTCCAAAGTGCACATGCACAGTGACAGATTACCTCCATGGTGTTAATCTGACCTGCTAATGTTCATTCATAATTCTTACCAAGCACAGCATGAATACTGTGTAGCAAAAAGTACTTCATAGCAAAAAAATACAACGCAATAGAAATCTGGAGGGTTTTTTTATATTACCCAAAAATATTTTACAAATGATTAAGGGAATAAAAACACACCTTGGAAATATAGAAATGTTAAAGCTAAGCATTTTACAATTATATTTCATTGGATTATACTAAGTGGCCAGAGGGTGTTTTAGTAGGCAAAGAAGATCCCAAACTAAATTATTAAAATTAAGCTCCTTAAACTTCATACTGAGTTTAGATTGTTACTGGAAACTTTTGATAAATTAAATATATAAGCATATAATGTTACACATAATTTTTCACTACATTATAATTTGATGTATTTAAAAGTTTCTTTACATATCTGTAAGCACAATATAAGATATGAAATGTCTTAAATACATTTTCCCTTCACTGAAAATTCTTACTTTAAATTGTATTTCTTAGGATTCTATTTAATGATAGCTACAGGGCAATAATCTATCATATAAAAATGCCTTGAGAGTTGGGTTTTCTTCAGTTCTTGTCTCTCAAGATTTCTGCTATTGGAGACTGACTCTTGGGGTCTTCCTTCGCGGCGACTCGACCCTTACACTTCAAGTGGGGAAATGGGAGGCAAAGGAAGACAGACCAAGAATTCAGCTCTCCTGTGTGATCAAAAATATGGTGAATAGCTACCCAGTTCCATTCAGTGGAAAAATGGGCTCACAAAACCATTATGGTGTGTGCTCGTCCGTCTTAAGCACTGGATCAGGCATCGTGTCACTTCTGGCTCTTCCCCAAGTCAAAGTGACCATGAAAGAGCCCCCGCGGACCCAGGCAGGGATGCCGAGGGATCCAAGGCCACCGTCCCAGGCCTCGGCGGGCCGGGCGGGAAGATGGCAGCGGGGTCCTGGGACCTGACCCCCCGGACAGTCACAGATGCCCAAGGTGCAGAGGACCCTATGAAGATTGTCCTCAAATGCTTCAGAGAACGCAAAGTACTTATCTCCTATGCAATAAAGAAGTCATTTCCTTTCCTCGAGGCTCTCCGTGACCGTGAGCTGATCACCAACAAAATGTATGAAGATTGTCAAGAGTCTTTTAAAAGCCTAATACCTGTAAGTCAAGTGATATACAAAGTTCTCAATGAACTGGAGAAGAAATTTGACATGGAAGTTCTGGAAGCATTATTCAGTGAAATCAACAGGATGGAATACCCTGATTTAATGAATGTTTACAAAGACTTCCAAAATGTGATCCAGGAAAAACTGTGTCTCCAAGACAGTGATGGAGAAGAGAGAGAGGAGAGGCCCAACACCCAGCTATGGCTTGAGGAAGGAACTGGAGGAAACTCCGTCTCCCGGGGCCTCACCTGGCCACACTCTGAGCCTTCGTCTCCTGGTGGTCAGTTCCTCTGGGCTCGAGCATGATCCTTTGCTGGCTTATCCCATCCTGCTATGTGCTGTGGGTTGCTGATTGCTGGGGACTTTCAGTCTTTGCTTCTGCTGCTTTTGTGAGCTCAGGGGTCAGATAGCAGAGCCCCAGTCCTCTGGGCCACCTAGGAGTGTTTCTTCTTGCCGTAGCCCTTAGACAGACTTGCCGCCCACTCCTGGACTTTAAGAACATGTGTGCAGCAGATAATGTTTGCATTGCTTGTGTCGCATTGGCACACATACTAGCATGTCTTTTCTTATTTTTTATTTTTTAAATAAAGGTTTATTGAAAAGCAAAAAAAAAAAAGATTTATGCTATTGCTAGAAATGATAGTTTTTATTTTGAATCGAATATGTTTTTAATGTTTTAAACTTTTAAAAAATTATTCATTTACTTATGTGGTACAGGGTCTCACTATGCAGCTCAGACTCTTAGTAACCGTCCTGTATCAGCCTCCCCACTGCTGGACTCACAGATGCGCACCACCACGCTTGGACTCGGCGGCCACCTCGGTACCCAGGGTTCCAGGGCTGGCAGGGCATGTGGTGCTGGGGATTGAACTTGGATCCTTCCTCTTACCAGGTAGGTGCTTAGACTGCTGAGCTATCTTCCCAGCCCTAACAAAAGCTTTAATGAGCAAGATAATCAGACACATGTGAAACTAAATTTCCAATAGCAGAATAAAAATTTAAGTATAACAGATCAAAGCAAAAATGAGATTAACAACACAGAGTGAAACAAGAGTGGACGTTTTAGAAGGAAATCAGATCCGTGTCCTTGCTAGCAGGGCTGGCACTGCAGAGGCGTCCAGAAAGAAGGTAATCAGGTTATGTGATGCTCTATTACATGTACTTACATTTTGGACTGTACAACCCTTCATGAAATGTTTCCAAATGTATGCAATCGTCAGCCTACTTAGGCTTCTTAATCAATTCAAACTGACATGCAAACAATATTTAGAAAGGGCACATCCTATCACTGAACATAAAACAGATAAGGATCTGAACAGGAGCTAGCAATCAATTCCCCACCGTCTGTCCACCTGCACACCCCAACCCTATCGCACGCTAATGGTAATTACTATACATCTATAAGATGGACAATCTCTTTTAATTAAAGTCTATGCTTCTGCCCTGAACTGCCAGTAAGAGGGAAAATGCAGAGAACGGGGAGCTGGGTAGAGCCCATCCTTGTGCTTTGAAGCATATCTTCCCCTTGATGAAGAAGAGAAATGCGAAAAGTCTTCCTGAAGGAAGAATTCTGCAAGGTTTCTCTCAGCTGTCTATTACCGGTGGGCCCCCAGTAAGACACAAATCATCCCTACTGTCCAGTAGACTCTAGAAATATTAGTTATACAAATAAGGGGAGGAGAGGCAATGCAGACTGCATTAGGAAGGTAGAGCTGAAGCCTCCCCCACGTGGAGGTCCCCAGATACCTACGCAGGCCAGAGAGCTCGCCTCCTGCAGTCCTTCCTGTGTTCCTGCCTTGCTTGCTCCCCTCAGACCATACCAGCCCATGACACGGTAAGTGTTCACTCTTTATTCTCCACAGGAGATGCATTTCACAGAGAAAGGGGATTGTCTTATTCACTGTGGGTCCCCAGCAATTGATGATGGATGACGTCCGCCTTCGTTAGCAATATATTCCCAAGACCTAGCCCAAGGGTCGTCCACCTTTTCAGGCATCTGAAAAGTAGGTCTTCCACCTACTACAGTGTCACATAGTAGATACTTCAGGTTTTGTGAGCCATACAATCTCTATTGCAGCTATTTAGCTCTGACATGGAAGGGCAGGAACAGCCATGGACTGTACAGAAATGAATGGGCATGGCTGTATTTCAGCAGAATTTTTCTACAAACACAGGTGTCTACCATGACTGAGACCATGCCTTTTTCCTGGTAATTGCTGAATAAATACTTAATATTATGAATGAATGTGATAGCCTCAACCAGCCTTCACTCCTAGTCACTATTCTAGAATAAAGCAGAATCTTGCAACATTCAGCTACTGCCGGTTGGATTATCCAGTACCTCACATTCAGAGGTACTAAAAGCTGCACAGGAAGCTAAGCATAAGATTTATCCTGAGTAACTGGGGATAGTTTCTGCTGGGCATGGTTAGTGGTCACCAAATGGCCCAAGTTTCACTTCAGCCATGCAGACCTATTTGCTTCCTATATGGCTATGGGAAAACCAGAGCAGCAGCAGCAACAGACAAAGTCCCTTGATTCTATTTCAGTAGGGAGTATATTTGCACAGGTGTCTAAGGAAAGGTGCTTAAAGCACTCAGTGCCACCATCTGTAGTGGCCAATGTTGCTCAACAAATTAGAATCACCTGAGAGCATCTTTAAAATGCAGATCTCTGGACAACCCTCTGGGGCTTCTATTGTCCAACAATATGGGGTTTTGGTGCATGTCTGCACTTGTGGCCAACTGCTGTGTATCTGGACTACAGGACTTATCACTCCTGTATTAAGTTCCCAGAGGACTCTCTACACAGCTCAGTTCAAATGAAGGAAAGGAAAGAATTATTAACAGAAGGGCAGGCAAGGAAGATTCAGAGAAGATGGAGGCGCTAAGAGAAGCACAGTAGCACGGGCCCAGGTATCCTTAGACCTCCAAGGTCAACAAGATGCTATGGGGAAATGAGGGTCCCAAGAGGAATGGGGTGCAGAAAGGACCACCAGGAGAGGGAGCCACTACAACTGCAATAGTTACTTGGACCAGGAAGAAGGAAACAAGAAGCACACTCTCCTGCATCTCCAGTTCTGTGATCTTCTTGCTGAGATGAGCCCTCCCCTCATCCGATTCCCCAACCAATGTCACCATAAGGGAACAAGGCAAAACAGTCTATAGGACATAAAAGGGCCCGAAACAGAACACTGGCCATAGTGTAAGGGAGGAAAAATCAGACACAGGGATTCAAGTGAGAGTGGTATACAGGATAAACAAAACTTGGATAAATGAACATCAGAAAAAAATCAGTGTAGCTACAGAGTACAGGTATCGCAGCTCTCAGTAGAGGTTACATGGTAGATTAAGCAGAAGACAACCATTGTGTCCTGTCAACCTACAAGGACTTGTCCCAAAATCATTTTGATTTATGCCATGGCCTCTCTTATGGACAGGTTCTCCATCCAAGTCACAGTCTTCAAAAATGGAACCAGTATTATCCCTGAAGTCAGCAATAAATGAAACCAGTGCCTTTAATTTCAAATTATAAGTCAACACCCTGATGAATTGCTATCGCATGATTAGTTAATTCAAGACCTCCATGCACACTGGAAGAATCCATCCATTATCTTCTCAATGTAATTCCTTCATCCCAGAAACTTTAAAAACAACCTAGGAAAATTACCATCCTTTACTAAAGCCTTTTGAATTTCATATGCGTTTAATTAGGTAACTGCCAGCTCAGGGAAGGGAACCATGATAGATGGTAGTTCTTCTCAAATTAGAAGAATAGACTGTTCAATGTGTGGTATTGATGTTTCTCTGCCCTTACTTATACAGGAGTATTTATACTTTCTTTTTAAAGTTTATCCAAACATTTTAACATTTAATGAAGCTTTCTGTGGTTACTGTTTTCTAGTATGAAACTCTAGCCATTAGCTCTTAAAAACAATGAGGGGCATCTGTCCATGCCCAGAAAATACCTTGTTCCTTACCAGAAGCCCTGGGCAATCCCCTCCACCCCTCATGGACTCTAACAAGACTATCTTTATGAGCAAATAGCAAATATTGATCACAGAGCAATGTACTACTGACCCTCATGGTGCGCTGGCTTCCCCGTAGCAGGAGCCCAGCCCAGCTGCGCAGAGCGTGTGGAGCTCCCTTCCTTTTTAACTGAGAAGCAACCTAAAACATGGAAAATAAGTTTGGATTTGGGGGAGAAGAATGATAACTGGCTAGTGAAAAAAACCCTAGAACCTGGCAGTCTAGAGCTCTGCCATCGACATTCCTGCATGTTCCTGAGTATGTAGCTGACTTCTTGATGATAGCCTGACAGTCTGAACAACTAATTCAAAGAGAACACTAGGCAATACAACGAGAATTTTTGAACTCTTATTGTCTTCCTTAGTGAAATTCTGTATCATGTCTAATACTTTTTTATTCTCTTAAAAAATGCAAGACATAAAATGTATTGGCATAAAGAATCGGAAGTCCCTTAGCACAGACATGAGGGCAAAGTAGGCCTGACCTGATTTCTTGCTCTTCTCAGGGTCCTAGGTATGTGCTGCTTTCTCTGAATCCTCCTCACAAACACAGGGGACTGGCTTACAAAATCATTTCTTTGAGATCAAATTTTCAAACCTATCACCCCATATTTTCAAATATCAATGTGGTAATGTAACACAAAGCACAGTTCGGATAAACTCCCTGATACATTTAGCAAACATGACTGTGGAACGTAACCATGACATATTTTAAATCTCTAGGACTTCTTGATAATTTGCTCTGTGTTTTACAAACAACTGAGCTCCCAGGTTTCCAAGGGATTCTAAGCACATCGCTCAGACTGACGGAGCAAGGATTCCAGACAATTGGCTCCCTGAGGGTCAAGACAGTGATGCTCAATCAGGATCCGAATGGGTCATAAACCCTTCATGGATCTCTCTCCAGTGGGTGGTGATGTCTCCCTAGGGCCGCTCATCACTTGCCGTTACAGTCAACACTTGTCATTACAGACAAACATCCCGTCACTCTTCGATGCTCATCTATTCACGTCTTAGTACGACCAGTGCAGAAAACTAGTGGCATGAAGAAATCTAAAGAGAAAAATTAAACATGTGTGCCCAACCAGGCAGGAGAGCTCACTACATCCTTCTCTTCTACACCTGCACTTTCAGCACTGCCACAAAACTCAGTATGTGTTCATCTGCCACGATTTCAGACATCCAAATTGTTTGGGGGCTACATATATCAAATGCCGTAAAATGCCAAACCCACTGCTAGGAATTTATCCCAAGGAAATAATTGGACAAGTGCCCAAAAGGTGTATGTATAAGGTTGTTTGCTGCGGTGTTCTTTACAGGTGCAAAGACTGGAAATGCATCAATCTCAGTTTAAGTGTCCACAGGGGTGAATTGCAAAAACTTATTTACACCTGTTACAAGGATGTCTTGC